TAGCGGCTTTCCCCAGGCTGCGGTACCCCGCTGCAGCCCGGAGCAGGCTCTGAGGAGGCACGCTCATAAAAGAGTTACTCCCTCCCATTTCTTTGCTTCATCCTTTAAAGTGGTACTTGGCCTGCAGCAGAGCTTTATTTCACATTCATCCTACAGGAGTGGACGAACCATTGAGCCTCCTCAGAGAGTCACAGCAAACCAGAAACAAGTATGGTGATGGTGCTTTTGAACAGCACCATTCTGTTTATTTTAATGTGTCCTCGTTAATGATTATAGAGCAGTAACGGTAGTGGGAATCCCTCAGTTAAAGTACCTATGCCCTACAGAAGCTGTAGGAGAGGCGAGGAGACAACACAGACTTTCGGGAGGCAAGTAGCATGTCTCAAAAACAGGCAGCAGAGCGTTCCTCCGGCAAGCCTCAAAAGAGGTCAAACTGACTATTGCTAGTAATTATTATTACATGTGCTGTTTCCCAAAAACTCTCAAGTGACAAATCCTGATCACATAACTTTGCTCCCACACCGCAGTGACTGAGCTACATGCATAGTTTCTAGCCTCGCATCCATACGTAGCACTGATTTCCAAACTGCTGACAACTGGCCTCAATGTTTGCTCTCTAAATGCAGTGCTCCGTTCAAATGTGCCCTCTTTCTGCTTTGGGCCCCAGGAGCAGCTAGATGATTTGTTTCTTTGCACCAAGCTTACCACTAAAGAGTACAGGTGATTTCCTGAAGAAACTTGATACCACATCTTGGTACATCCACTCAAACCATGGAGAAATGTGGGAAGACAAACAAAGGAGGACATTTTCTCCCTTGATGTGTGCATTTAGATGGGAGATGATATATCAGGTATTTCCCACTGCTGAAAAGTGGCAAGCATAGGTAAAGCAGTTACCTCCAAGCAGGCAATCATTCACACCCTATTGTTTCCATCAACCTACACCTTTTATTGGAATTGTATTTACTGAAGGCATGGTTAAGGTTCCAGGTCCCCTATTTAAACATACCTTATTCTTTCTGGGAACATCTTGCTTACATTTACACAGAGCATTTGTATAAAACTGGTGCAGATTCACAACTGGCTGTGCAGGCAGCAAATTTACCCCCCACCCTGAAAAAACTAAAAATACAGTAATTAAATTTAAACTCAGAGGGATTTAATTCTCAAACAGAATTATTTTTTTCTTAACATTAGGCCTGCATATGTGAAAAAAAAAATGGCAATACACACAAGGTTAAAAATACTTAAATTGCCTTCATTGGTACTAAGACAATTTCTAATACTGTTTTCAACAATAGCTTTGTAGAAAAGACATTAAAAAAAAAAAGACACGCAACCACAAGAAAAGAAATGCTACAGAGGTAGCTGTAGATGGCGTGTTTCCCCAATTTTCCTCAGGTTATATGCGGTATAACTGAACTCTGCCCATTTTGCCATTGCAAACATGATGCAGCAGAAAGCTTTCCCGTTTCCAGTGCTTTCACCAAACAAAGTATTTATAAATAATATCTTCAGGCTACTACAGCTCTGAGATTAAACATATTCATACCATACTATCTACTCACATGAAGAAATCATGCTTCATCAACATCCGTTCCAGGATTACATGCAATAAGGATCACTTTTACAAAGCTGCTACAAGTGCAAATCAATAATGAAACTCTATCTTAAGTGATATTCTTCCTGTTTACGTAAAGTATTCATTATTTTTATTCATGTTACATATGTGAAATGCTAATGCAGCTCTCACATAAGCAAAGTCTTAAATATGCATGACAAGGATCAGAATTCACCTGAGTACGGTCCTCTTATCCAGGACTGACAGTGACCCCCATGCCAATAACCGCATTCAGTATACAGAAGTTTCTGCTTCTCTAATCATTTCTGGAGCAGGCTTCATGCAGCCAGAACCACAAGCTTCTGCTCCTCTCTTTCTGGTATCATCCCTATTTGAATTGGATGTAGTCATATATTCCTATCTGAGGTTGGAAAGAAATTGCTGTAGTATAAAGTCTTGTAAGGAGAGGAGGCCAGTAAAAATAGATGTGTTTTACATCTCCAAAGAAAATTTAGAAGACTCACACAGGCATCCCCATAAAAAAAAATTTCACAACATGAAACTAGCAGATAAGCAGTTTGCCAAAATACCAGAATAAATAGGGAAAAAGAAAAAAACCACAATGTATTTTGGGGTGGTTCACATGAGAAGTCCCAGGCTTAAAATGCAGTATGAGACAGAGCCATTAGACATGAAGGAAAGCTTTCTAGTGAAGAGTGTTTCATGAAACTTGTAGAAATTAAATAATATAAATAGATATTTTTAAAAAGTAAAAATGTAAATATTCAAGATACAAAGCATTAAATATTTTTAAAAGAAAAGAGGTGCCCAAGCAGTGTGAAAAGGTGCTTTAATAATGCTGTGCTCCTATTTCTGACGCACCTAAGATCATTTAGACTCTGAAATTCATTTACTCTGAACTACACTATACAAAGATGCTGGTTAAAGACAATGTAGCAGTGAGAGAGGACTACATTTTAACCAAAAAAAAAAAAAGAAAAAGAGAGAGCGGGGAAGACAGGAAAAATGGGCTTATTACAAAAGAAACAGTGAACAGGGAAGCTGAAGATCACCACAAGGATAAATTATAAGTGTTTTAAGATACTTCAGATGAAATAGTACAGATTTCTCATACAAGGCCAGATGTCTTTCTGTTGGGAGTATTCTCAAGAGATGATGCTCCTTACCCTAGCATTTCTTTCTACATCCTGCTGCAAATTCTGCATCTGTTCCATTTTTCAAGCCTGTCATGTGAAAATATCTAACCATAGTTTTCCACCAGGATTCTTTCTGTGGCTCAGCCCTCACTCTGCTCGCAGTATCATCTTCCAATCCGCTGTGAGATTTGTTGATTGATTTCCTTTTCCCACTTCCAAATAGCTATACAGGCAGCAAGTTGCAGCTAAAACTACTGCTACCAATTGGGTTACTGCATGGACAAATTGTACGTAGAGTTTTTGTCTGGAGAAAAGGAAAGGTCTGGCTGAGGACAGCTCTGATATAAAGACATACTTCTTGTTCCAATTGTTTTCCCTAGTTCCAATACTGTCCTCTGATTCTTCATGCATGTTTTCTATTTATCATTATTTATATATATTTCAGTTGCATCCAAAACACCAAATCCAGGATTAAACCCTCAATGCAGTAAGTACAGTCCATACACATGAATACAGAGACTTCTGCGGATGAAGAAATGCCAGTGCCATCACCAGAATAATTTTAAAAATAAACAAGTTGCATTGATAAATACGGTCCCAGATTTGCACTTCATACTGCCACAATATATTAGAAAAAATTGCACAACAACCACGACATGCTGTAGGTTGAGAAAGGTAGCATGTTACATTACTTATTGAAGCTGAATATTGGATTTCTGAACAATGGGAAAAAAGCTAAAGAAGTGGTTTTTGGGTTTTCTTTCTTTGTTTGTTTTAAAGAAGAGGATATTCTAAATAAAAGCATTATATTACAGCTGTGATTCAGGAGAAGTTCTGAGCTTTCATACCATGCAATATAAATACATTGTATATTGTAATTCTGCTCTCGAAAGGGGTGATTATTACAGATAAAATGCTTTGGAATGCATAAAGTTGTCTTTACTCTAACCACTTAGTATTTTCTGTTAACATGCATAGTGCATGCATCTATCTACCTGTGCTATCAATCCAATGTCTCTTGACAGGAGCTGGTTAAAAGCTGGCTTCATGAAGAATAACCATCATCTGCTACAGAACATCATTATAGCAGTCTTGGTCCTTTGGAAACAAATTCCATCAGCTATCTCAAGAAGCAGAACAGTGAACGCTATGGGCCATGAATATATTTTTACTAGTTCAAAGTTTCTAGTTATACCCTCTGTATTCAATTATGCATATGAAAGAAAGAATTGCAGGGCTTCTTGCTAGTCTCTCATCACATAAGCGTTATTAGAAAATAACAATCTGCGATTAGAAACCATGGAGTCTCTGATAAAAAGTACTGGACCTGAAGTTGTATTTAGTAGGGGGAAAAAAAAAAAATATGCTTAGTGGTGTCCAGAACTCTGGCAAGCAGACACTTCTCAAAATAAAACTACTTAAAACAGCATAATCTACACAGCTAGCTGAATTTAATATGTTCTATCTGTTGTTTTCATTAGGAACTGGATAAGCGAACACATACTGCCGATATAAATATGGCACCAGAGTAATCTCATCTTTAACATATTTTCCTTTGTTAATAAACTAGTGGTATTTTTTCACTTGGAAGCTGAGAAACTTCTTCAAGTTAAGTGCCATAGTCTTACAGATCAGATAAAATATATTAAAAAGGCAGTTTTTAAATATCACTGTATTTAGTATGTTAGAATGTATTAAAAACTTTTTTC